TGGCTGTGGAGAAGGGAGTGAGCATCCATCCTCAGCCCCCTCGTGTTCAGGCAGCTTCTCTCGGGGCCTGCCTCGTGCCGCCGGGAGGGGAGGGGGCCTGCGCAGTCCCTGTCGCACCTTTTCAGGCCGGAGGTGGTGAGTCTAGTTTTGCTGTTGCCTCTCTTCCCTCCTGCTGATAGAGCTGCATCGCAGAGTCACATACACCTTTCCCACCATCACGCTCCCAAATTCACATTTCCCGTGTATCCTTTCTGGTTATCCCCTCTTCCTTTCCGTAGTGTCCATAAAGCAGAGGGTGCTCTTCTTGCCCCTGGCTTTGCTTTTCACACAAGTTACTCTTTTTAGTCCAGTTTCACTCACATAAGCAGAGCAGGGCAGGAGTGAGCAGCTTTGACACCATGGGGTTCTCTCTGCTTACAGAGTTTAATTTTCTTCCACCCTTCTTAGATGGGGGAACAGAGACTTCATAAACACCCAAGAAAGCCCATTTTCTTACTAGAATCATCTTCCCAAGCGAGTAGTTTTGGAGAGTGGGGCTCAACTTTGAGAGAAGCCAGCCAGGTGCTGGCAGGGCTCGGGCAGCAGAAGGGCTGGTTTGAAGGTTCCTGTTCGAACAAGGAGAGGAGGACTGGTGTGCTAAACCGGTCAGTTGTCAGAGCGGTGCAGACCTGCTGGCTAGGTGATTATCAAGGTATGCATCTTGTAGGGAAAGACATGTCAGCCGTAAAGGAAAACAACCTTGAAACCTGCCTGCAATGAGGCTGGAGTTTCTTAATTACTTGGGGTCAACCTAATTGCAGGTTGGTGCTGAAAGGGGGGATTCCTCCAGCCCGCCTTGCTCCAGCCCTGTTTTCCCACCTCCCTTTTGTAATGTACAACACCTTGTAGCCGCAGGGGACCTGAACAGGGAACTGATTCAGTGCAACAGAAGTTAGAAGGGGAAAGGTGGGATGTTTTTAGCAGACTTGCTTTCCTGTTGTGGCTCGCTGTGCAGCCGTGCCATCACGGTCTGTGGCACAGGGGGTGGCAGAGACACAGTGAACAGGGACAGCTCCCGGGGAGCCTAAAAGAGCCTGGAAGTACTTGCATTAAAGGAAGACAAATTCACTTCAAGTTGATTGTTGTTACAGTGGATTGACCCTCCTAGTTTTAGATTTTTTTTTTTTTTTTTTTTTTAATACTGCATGAAAGAAACCTTTTAATGTTTGTTTTCTGAGTATTGGTTTTAATGACTCCAGCACTTAAGAGCATAGGACTTTCTTGTCTCCTCTCTTCCTACAGCCTCCCTCCCACCCTCAATAAATTTGTTGAAATGGGTCAAAGTAGAAACCCTGGAGAGAGTTCTTTAGTTATCTATGGCTTAAGCAGTGTGAACTGTGTCTGCCCTAAATTGATGGGACTCTGGGGCAAAGGGAAAGATAATGGTCTTCCTTGTTCTCTCTCAAAACGTGCTCCTAGTAGTGACTCAGTTTTTGCAGGGGCAATTGAATGGTGGCTGTTTTTGGCCAGAAAGTCTATTAGCCAGTGTTGAATCAGTGGAACTAAAGCTTCCAGGCTTTGAGTCCTTTCTGTAGTCAGGTCACCACTGCAACACCTTTGAGCCCTGGTTTCTGTTTGCTTTTCATTGGAACTTTTTTGATTTCAAAGGTGTGGAGAGTGATACTGAGACATGGTCTCCTACTTTTGTTACACTCTGACTCTCCAATATGCTTCTCTCTGCACAGTACTGCATCTCCTTTTACTTAGTATCCACTTAGAGAGTGGTTGCAAGGCTTGGGAAGCTTTTGTATGCCTTTGAGTGTGATACAGTATTCAGGTTTGAAATCTCAAAGTTAAGACTATTTACTCCTTAATATGTGATTGCTTGCAGAAATAATGCATTGGCCATGTTGAATTTTTACAAAAATTGGGGTATCTTATGAGATTAAGTCACAAAAGTGTGAAAAGTCTGCCATTAATGCTTGTGGGTTGTAATCCTGTATCTATTATTATGTTTAAATAAATGAAACTTGTCTTGTAGGCGGTTGAGATCAAGTAAGGAAGAAAAAACTAGCAATTTTTCAAATAGTTTTGATTTGGGGCCTATCAACTGTGACACAGCTTGAAGATTTAGTATCTAGTTTTATATCAGATCTTGTATACGGGGCTAGATATCTACTGTTCTTCAGCTGGAATTGCATCTCACTGTATCCGTTGTTTGTAAATGCTAGGCAAGATTGAGCATTGTGGGCTTCTCGAGCTTGTGGGCTTCAGCCCACAGCGTTAAACAGCTCAGTGTAGTTGCGTGCTGGCATTTCTCCTTGGCAGTGTCTGTACCTGAGGTGTCACATAAGGAAATGTTTTGTGGTGAGAAATTATCAGACCTGTCTCAGAAGGAATTCTGAAAGTAATGGGAAGGTGCCTGTAAGTGCATCGTGGCACTGGTATCAATCAAGCTGCAAGGGTGAGAAGGTTATTCTTCACTTGTCACCTGCCTCTTCTCTTCATACTAGCACAAAATACGAAATATGATTTATTTTTTAATCAGTTTTTCTTTCTTGTCTCTAAACTTCCAAGTATAGGTCTTTAAAAGCCTACTTTTCCGTATGTAAAGTTGCTTGCTAGCACTCGCTATTGTAAAACAAAGCATTTGAGTCTTTGGTCTACTGAAATTCCCTCTTACTCTTCATGATTTGTGTTTTCTTTGGTTTGCTTTAAATGTGTGCTTCCTTTTTAAATATAGTTTTCCAAGTTGCTGGCCGTACCAGATTGTTTATATTTTTTAAAAGCCTTCTGCTTAGCCGTTATATTGCTCTTTATAGTACTGCTTAACCACATTGGTTTCTGTTGCTCTTTTTTCTTGCATAAACTTAGCTGGGATGAATTTCAAATGTGGTTTATCCAACTGTTAAGTATTTCCCACTTTTCTGCAATAGATTTCACATATGTTACAGAATTCCAAACCAAGATCTGGTGGACATATTGCCCTGTTTTTTTCCTCTAAGTCAGAAATAGAGGGTTTTTTAAGCATTACAGTGACAAAATTTAGGTCACTGTCTGCAGCATGATGCCTAGCTTCAAATCTATTTGTCACATTTAGCTTATTTCCAAGGATTAAGATAACTATGGACCATACATTTATTAGGAAACAAAAAAAAAAAAAATCTTAGTTTTGTGGTAATAAACCTAAAGGGGAAAATGTATTGATCCTTTTGAGTTGGAAAATGCAGAAGGCTTTTTTTTTTTTTTTTCCTCCAGAGGTCGAACTGTGGAGTCACATAAAACACACATACATCCATCCAGTCATTCAAAGTTACAGGACTTACCCATACAAAAATGTAACTAAGAACTTGGAGTTAGGCTTTTTCAGAGAGTAACTAGGAAAAAATTCAGGAACTGAATTACTTTTTATCTGCTAGACCTGTGTGTTCTGTTTTTAAACTTACAGAACAGGGGTTTTAGCAGGTGTCCTGTAGGTACTTGCCTTCTGTTGCTATTTCTAACACCTCTGCAAAAGGCAAATCTTTTGTTTTCCTACTTCCTTTCCCCATACTGGGTGCCCAGTTCCACTGGGTATTATATGTGACCCAACGCACGGTAAAGTTTTTACGGTAACCATATAGTAGCAACCAAATCTGCTTTACTTCCACTGTGGTTTTTATGTGTGGTGGTATCAAGAGATGACCTGGTCACTGACTTGACTGACTATTGGGGATCTGGAATTAGACCCGACAGGAGGTCCTGGGCTTGTTTTTTGGGTCTGGTCCGTTACAGGTTGTTGAGCTGAGAAACAAATGCCAGTGGCACGACAGTTTTTCTGGTGGAGAATATTAGGCTTTTTGCATGCAGGTTGGAGGCGTGGTGGCAGAGTGATGTGATGAGGAGAGCTGCAAAGGAGACCTGCTTTATATCTTGCTCTAGTTGTTCTAGCATGTTGCTCTCACTTTTCCCAAACTTCTTTCTCATAGCCAGGTTTTTTTCCTTTCCAATTCATAAGGGGAGAAACCAGTGACAAATTCCTTTTATGAATTCTTGGTTATAATTCCAGGTGGCTTGGGGAATGATATAGCTCAGTGGAGGGCTTGGCCTTTATTTTTTTAATGTTACATGGAAATACTGCAGAAAAGGTATAAATTGACAAGGAATATTGAGTATAGTTGGTTTATGTGTTGATAAGTAACCCGTTCAGTCTATTATGGTAACATTTGGAAGCACAGTGCTGACTAAAGGAACTGGGATGGGGATAATGCGCTTGGATGAGGGTTGGCAACAGTCTGTAGGCTGAGCCTGTACTTCGGCCTAGTAGAAACTGTTGGAAGATAATCTGGTATTCATCAGAAAATTAGGAAAAGATATATTTTGGGGAGGAAACAGAGATGCCTGCTAATAATTTTAGAGGAATAGATTCCAATAGTAGGAAATTGTATTTTGTATTAAAGTAAGGAAATACTTAAATAGAAAAAGAGCATTGCGGTGGCAGTATAGAATTATATACAGTATGTCATTTGAAATTAAGAGTGACTGAAGCATAAGCATTCTAGGCTGAAGTATAAGATTAACCAGTATTTGAGTTGATCATATTTTTTTTTCATGGAGTAACTCAAAAAGGGAAAATCCAGTATCTTTAAAAGGCAGGCACATGAAAATAAACCTGGCTTGAACATGTCCCAGGATCTGTAATCTTCACTGGATTTGGGAAATTTTTAGGAGGAGTGTATTGCATGCCACTGCTGCTAGGCTGTGTGATGTTGTGGTAAAGCCATGAATGCTTTTGAGAAGAATGGTGATTTTGGTTGCAAGATGGAATCAAAAAGGTTGTAGAACTTCATTTGATGTTATTTGGGAGGTCAGGTTTCTGGAAGCTTGGTGCCTTGTTCTGAACTGCTCTGTAGTCCATCTGTCTTGATATTCCAAATGACATGATGTACATATGAGCTTTTTTTTTATTATTATTTCTGTGAGAAAAAGAGCTCTGATTATAGTTCCTTTTTTTTTTGTTGTTATTTTGTTTTTCTTGACAGAGAGAGCTCGATGCCACAGCAACAATATTGGCTAACCGGCAAGATGAAAGTGAGCAGTCTAGGAAAAAACTTATTGAGCAAAGTCGCGAGTTCAAGAAAAACACTCCAGAGGTAAGGAGAAAAGCTATTCCAGTCTTTTGAGTTTCTTGCAGTAGTATTTGATATTAGGCATATGTAAGTGGTTTTGCCTTTTTTTGTTTGTTTGGTTGGTTGGTTGTTTTTTTTTTTTTCCTTAATGGTTTGTTTCCATTATTTTCTTGCATGTATTGCTGAGACCACCATCTTAACTAAGGCTGCTTTCTCATCAGGCAGCTTTTGCATTCTGTAAGTAATTAAATACAAATTGACATTTTTAGAGGAAGTATGAACATTAGTGTTCAAACAGCCTTGCTCTACATTTTGTAATAATGTAAAACCTGGAGAATTGCAAGAAAAATTCTTCCTCACTAATCCAAACTCTCTTAGCACTTGGATGTAGAAAGTGACATTTCACTGCCTAAATAAATCTATATCAAGGGCATAACTTCAAAGATGCTCATTTTTCCATCAAAAATGAAATTAAGTTTTGCTGTTGATTTCACTGGAAGTGCAACAAGGTCAGTGCTGAGCTCTTTAGAAAACTCTGCTTGGAGGATGTGCATCGCACGCAGCAGGTGGTGTGTAAAAGGTGTCGGGACCGATGCTAGGCGAACCTCGGAAAGGTGAATATTGTGTGTAGGAAGCTGGGGAGTATTTAAACTCTTCCATGCTCATGTTAGCAGGTGCACTGTGCATGTCTGTGTTACATGTATGCATAGTTATAGCAAAAGTACATATAAACTCATTTTGTTAATGAATGCATAACAATGTGCAGGGCTTGTTTGTTTGTTTGGTTTGTGTTGTTTTTTTTTTTTTTTTCCCTGATGATTGCCAGCAATCTATTCATCCAGGAATGTTGTAGTGTTTCAAAGCCCATTCTAGATAACTGATCCACAAGTATTGGTTCCTTCCAAGTATATTCTGGGGAGAGAAGCAGTAGGCAGCTTTTCTAAGCTTTATTGCTCCTTCTCAAGTAGCAGATGCTGCTTTGCTTCCTGTTGGTACAGAGGGAGAGAATCTGGAGGATCTGACCCAGGGAGGGGAAAGGCAGTGTCGGAGCAGGAGTGACTTACAGGCAAGGAGGAGTGTTTAACTGATGCCCTGATGAGGAGGCTTTGTGTGGCAGAAACCAGTTCTCTTTGAAGAGAAAATTTGGGGACTGCAGCTTTGAAGGAACAGATCTTTTAAAAAGGAGTGAAAGAATCTGGAGAGTGAACACAGTAGCTGTGAGAGGGTGATGCATGAGTTGATTCCTTTTGCAGGAGAGAGCAGCTGTTGGAAAGATGAGGAGGAAGGAGAGGAGTGAATGAATATGGAGGGTGTAGGAAATTGTATAAAATCCAGAAAATACAGACTTCTGGGGCCACATTTTCAAACTGTTTTTTAGAACCTTAAGTTCATTCTACAGGACTCAACTTTTGAGTTTCCTGGTGCCTTCCTTTCTTTTTCCTGTAAGGAAAATGGCAGATTCTTCAGAATGTGGCTACAGCTGCCAGCTCCTAGCTGATAGCATGTTTACAGATGTGTTTCAGGGTGATTTCTTTAGGCCAATTTAATTTTTATGGAGCAGAAGGCTACTGTGGGGAGAAACAACAACAACAAAAAATACCAACCAACACTGCACTTTAAAAGTGCATGGTGAAAGGGCCTTGGTAACTCGGTGGGAGTTGGATACACAGAGGAAAATTATGTGCTCAGTATAGTTACTTCAAGAGATATAGTGGGAAAATGATAGGCAATTAGTTCTTTCCAGTAAGCAAGATAAGGAAGTTAAATCATTTGATGGTAATGTTTTAAGTATAATTTTACAAAATATAATTAGGTAGCCTTTATTCTCTTCCAAAATATTTTATGGGAGGTATTCTATTCGTTTGGTGACTAGGTTCAAAACAATGATGATGAACATCCCCAGTGTTCGGGGAAATTTGGATGTCTGCTGTATTCTACATCCTCATCTTTTGTCCTGGGACTCCTATGAAACCACATTCCTTTATAAGCTTGCATGGATTTTTTAAAATATTCTTTCTCTCTTGGTCTTCTCTGCTGTCACGCTCTTTTTGCAGCTTTGTTTCTGAACAGCAACACAATCTAACTCCTCTTCTGCTTTCTCTGACAGAATTAAAAATGCAAATGGGATCAAAGAGTTAGAAGAAAGTATCCAAACTGTAATAATAGCCGGGTGTAACACAGCTGATATGCAGTTATTGCTCCCAGAGGCACGGTGGAAGTAGCTCAGATGTAGGAGGTCTGAGAGGGCCACCCTCTCCAGTCCAAGGTGCTTGGTGGGGTAGACATGGCTCTGTAAGAGGCAAAAACTGGGTGAGGCAGTGTCCAGCTGCCCTTGCTGGAAAGCTTCACTGGTATTCCTCTTCACACAAAAGTTTAAGCTGTTTTCTGCACTCCCTACATAGAAGGGAAGTCTATGAATACTTGTGAAAGCTGAGACAGTTTTGGGAGACAGTTGAAAATTAGAAGGTGGGATTATTAACTACTTGACCTGATTTTTTTCCAAAACTGCAACTTTGTCCGAAAACCTACCCAATATGGTGAAAACATCCTTGAGGTGGATGGGGAAACTCACAGTGAGACACTGGCATTTCCAAACCGATACATTTATGTTACTAAAACACCAAACATGCTCTTGTTAATAACAAAAAAAGAGTTCTGTAGTAGAAAATCAGCTTGCATGCAGAACCATTCTTCAGATAAATAAATGACCTAGTGTACAGCTTAATTTAAATTTCCACAGAGAAGTAACAACTTTCTTGGTATAAAAAAACCCCTCAAACCACAAAGATGGAATTGTTAAATGTAACAATTTGTTTCAGAAGTCTACTTTCCATTTTCTTTTTCATCCTGCATGTATCCCTGTCACTGCAGTAGTGCTTTAGCCTGTTCCAGCATCTGTTTTTCTCTGCTGTAGCCAGTCTCACTGTAAATCACAAGACAAGTGTCGATTGCCTTGACTTTCCTATCCATTGATGTCTGGGATGTCCTCTAGACTTTCCATAATGTCTGCTTGAAAGCAATCTCCTGTGTAGCAGAAAAGGATTCAAAAAATTATTAATGAGTTTGAGGATATTTCTGTTTACTTTTAAAAATGTGACAGACCTATTTGGGTCATTTCTGCCTTCGTTGAAAATTATCAAATTGTTGCAAAAGATATATAATATTTTCAAGTTTATAGGAATGACTCTAGGGCTTTTGGTATTTAAAAATGTTAAAATACTATTTCTGACTTGGCATACTGGGAGGTGACTCTGGGAAGAAGTGTCTCATGTTTGGGAACCTTATGAGAACAGAGAATTCAGTGGTGGTTCTTACATGCAGAAACTTTTAGGAAGGGTTCTTAATTCCTGTTATTGCAAAAATACTTTTTAACTCTTCACACCTTTTAAGAGGTCATATCAGACCTGCTGCACATGGGTGTTTTGGGGTATTTTCAGTCTCAGATTGTTTCATCCTCAGCAGCTACTCTGGAAGGCTGAGACTGGTCAGGAGATTACTTGAAACATCAATTTTACATGACTGTTACTTGAAAGACATCCCAAAATATATCATGTGAAGTGCCACCCTACATCAGACGATTATTTTCTTATAGTGATAATTCCTGAACTATTGTGACTGTGATACTTTCTGGGTATTTTCACCTCTTTGAAATTCTTTGTCTAATTCATCATGTCCTCATATGCCAATTCTGGTATGAATAAACAAATGTTTGAATGATCATCTTTGAGAATTTTTTTTTTTTTAGTCTCTAAATAATTTCAGTTGCACAGGTAAATAATTTTTGGCACAAAGTGAAGATGCTTTCTAACGTTGGTAACTTTGCCTTTGTTTCTACCCAGATTCTTAGTTGAATAACAACTTTTTGCTTACCTGCTTCTGTTTGAAATGTTGAAAAGCTTGTGCAATACTTCCAGTGGTGCAAACTTCTAAGCTAGTGAACAACAGTAGTGAAAAATATCAGAAATCAAGTAACTGAGTAAAGCTAAACTTTGTAAATAAGTCATATGTAATTGATAAATACTCATGGAGGGAGAAGACAGTAATACTTAAGCCTGCTTAACCTATAACTCTCCATCGCTTTCCTTTGTGATTCAGCCAGGTAAATTAGATAATGCTGAGCTGTGTTGGTTGTTACCAGGCTCACCTGAAACATGGGTTGTTAAACTGATCACAAGACAAAACACCAGCCTGAGAGGGCTGGGCCAGCTGCTCTTGGGAAATAAAATAAGAAACTATTTTTTTAATGTGAGAGCCTGAGCTCTAGAAAATCAGGCAGGTCTGAGGCGTATGTTTGGATACAGGAGCTTACCCTGTGAGCTTGTTACTTTGGTCACTGTTTTTTCTTCCTGATGGTAAGTTGAACTGATGATTCCTCACTGTTGTTGCCCTTTACTATTTCTAGGTTGCAAATGTACTCTATAGGTGAGATTTAGAAAGTCAAGATTATGTTTAAATGCTCAAATTGACATCTGTGTTTTGTAAAGCAGATTAAAGACTGCAATGGCAGAGTTACAGAAGGACATGGGAGAACCTTTAAACGTAGACACAGGCAGCATAAGTATGTTCTCAAAGAAAAAAAACGGAATATTGGAAGGTGCCAGAAAACGAGAGAGATGAGCATGCGAATAGCGTGTCTGATTACTGGCTGAGTGGACGTGGCAGCCTGCCGACCCCGAGCCCTTGGTAAACCCAGTTCTGCAGCGGGGCAGCCGTGGTGCCGCCCAGACCATCCAGCGCTGCCGGGGCGCTCCGGGCGCGCGTGTTCAGGGAAGCGGGTACAGCCACCTCCAGTGTATTTACACTGCAGGTACCGATTTGTGTGAGCAGTTCTGCGCTGCCCTGGTTGATCTCTGAGTTTTCCTGCCTAGGTAACACCTGGCTTTCACTGTTGCCCTTGTTTCCTGAACTAGGGCCATCATCCCCATCCTGCTCAGTTACGTTTCTGCAGTGCCACTGCTGCAAAAGAGAAAGAAAGAGGAGTGCAGAATTTTTTGTTACAAAATAGTTTCATTCATGATATTGCA